TATTTGGTTTTTTTTGTTTATTTGCTATTTCATTGGCCATGGATGTAGCATGTTTTTCCTTTTTTTCTTCTTCAATGCGCATCGCCTCTAACCTTGCGTACAGTTGATCAACAATATCTACATCAGCACTCGACTCATTATGCTGAAAGTGGTAGTTAAGTTAAATTAGACCAGCCGTCGGTAGACTATCATAAATCAACTCAGAACGGGGTTTTTTTTTAAGTAATTAAAAAAAAGGAAACTTAACGTCTTCCTTTAAGGTAGGTTCAACGATATTACTTGTTGTCTCAACATTTTCCTTCGCTCTAAGCTCTTGGATCTCTTTTTGTTGTCTTTGAAGAAGTTCGGTTTTCAATCTATTCGCTTCAGCCTGAACTTCTTTTTGGCGTTTCTTATCACCCTTTGCTACTGTCTTTTTTAGCTTGGTAATTTGTACCTCGAGATCTTTAAATTCTTTTTTATGATGTATAGACAGCTCTTCAGCGGTTTTTGTAATTACCTCAGGTTTTTCCATAATTGCACACGATTCCTCGGCCATCATACAAGAACACTTTAAATCAATACATCGTTTCCAAAATAGGGCTTAAGGCGAAGTAGTGTTGTACAAAATCGGCAGAATGAATGTTAAGGTTAAAATTTTCTTATGTTCGTTTAGTTGGGTTAATCAAAATTCGCGCTTAATTGGTCCCAAAATAGAAATCTCGGAAATTTTAAATACGCATGTGAAAATCAAAAACGTTTAAACTCGATCGATCAATACGGAAAATTTATGCAATTACTATAAAAATGTATGAATTTTCAAGTTTTCTAATTTTCAAATATACGTAGTAATGAAACTTTTTTTTTGTTATTATACAAAAAGATCAAAAATAGACAAAAAGGAAAAAAAAGCAAAGCCTAATAATTACACTTGACAATGTCGATTAAATCAATCGTACATACAAATAGTGAAAAAGCCAACGTGTAACACATGAAACTTATAAAATAAATCTAATTACTTCTCGAATAGAAAGTCTAACTTTTGCATAGCATCAATAGTTCATAACAGCCATGTTGAATCATATATCGCCGGGATAAATAACAGTTTCCAGATCCTTCACCACAATAGGATCTATATATGGGGTTAATAATGCGAACAATAATTGTTCAGTGTATATAAGAAAACATTCTTCATTCCCTTTTGCCAATATTTTAAGCATTTCCATAGTTCTTCTGGCTAGCATAATACAATCATCATCATTATTTCCAATACGATTATCCCGTACACTTGCCAATGTTATCGACATTTTAAGCATTCTATTTATAAATCCTGGAATGGAAACCATTTTTTTTCTCATTACTTCCCCACTCAAACATGCAAAATTAAAGAATGACATTACCAACATTGCCAAATATGGCAACTCTTGCATCGATGGACGCGTGATCACACCACCACCAATAGCGTAACCAATACTGTTCTCACCCTGTGGCAACATTCGTACCAATCGTTCTAAGACTGTTGTTAATGTAGATTCATCACAACCACCAATCCGTTGTCGATTCTCGTATGAAACAGAAATCTTTGCAAATACTTCCAACGCAACTTGAGCGTAATAATCATCGGTGTTTTCTAAAAAATCGGCAATTACAACTAAAAGGTCTCTTGCGACATAAATTGATGGTAAAGTAAGATATGCCGCAATATTTGATAATATGATTATAACGCTCTTTCGTAATTCTAGAATATCATAAGCTTTCTTACGAATTATTCTAATTCGATTATCTTTAATATCTCTGCCCGCTTTTACTTTTTCATTGACACCAAGAAGAAAATCATCATCCTCACCTATGTACAGGACACGCATAAGCACGATTAATAACTTAGGGTGGGTTGCTAGGCATTCCTGATTCTCGAACATGAATGAAAAATTCCTTATCAAATTAGTTATACACCAACATTGCTCGTGTAATGACAACCATTCATTTACTATATTTGAATTATCCGTTGCAACGTCCGCAAATTCATCACATTCTTGTCTAGATAGTTGATATAATTTCTGATACGTTATAAATTTTCGCGGTGATATCAAACTTTCTTCCGTAGTTTCCTCGTTACACGATGGAGATACAGAATCTATATATTCTAATATCATATCTAGCAGAATATCCATTAAGTCCCCACACTGTTTAAGATCTATTATTAAATTTTTGTAGCACGAGAGCGTTGTTAACGTGTTTAGAGCATTTGTGACTTCAAGTTTCATACCGCACTTCAAAGACATCGTAAGTGCATGTACATCTACCGCACCTAATATAAAGAAAACAGATGTCAACTTATTTCTATACTCTTATAAATAACACGTTTATCTTTACCTAAATCTTGGATTCCAGGTATGTTTAAGGGTAATGAAAACTTCTCAAAAACTCTCAAATCTAGACCACCATAGCTCTCAACGCGTCGAGTTTTTGGTGCATAATTTACTTTCTGAGGTTTAACAGGTCCTTGTTTTGACGTTTGTGCTGGCAAAGTTGAATTAGAAGGTTGTGTTGATGTCGTAGGTGTAGGATGAGTGACTACAGGTGCTTTTTCGGATTGTCGGGGTATTTGACGGGAAGTAACAGCCCTGCGTCCAGCTATTCCACTACTGACCGGTAACCGCAAATTTTGTGACATATCATCGGCCACATTTGGACTTGATGTGTGCTGTTTATTATTATT